TTGTCAATTTCTTAAAGTTAAATATAAACAAACTCACCACATGATCCCAAATTTTCTCTATAGAAATCTACCCAAGAAAAATGAAAAACATGCCCATACAAAGAATTATCTACAAATGTTCCCAGCATCATTATCCAGAACAACCCCAAACTGGAAACAATCCAAATAGCCATCACCTGCTGAATGACAAGAGTGGCAAGTCCACAGAATGGGGTAGCACCAGACAGTAAGAACGAATGAAATACTGGCACACATTAGAGCACAACATGCTGAGAGAGAACCAGATACAAAGACCACATATTCTGTCATTCTATGTACATAAAATGTTTAGAAAAAGGCAAATTTAGAAACATGAAGCAAAGGAATGGTTGCTAGAAGAAGCAGCAAAAATGGGCCATGGAAGTAATCTAAAATATTCACAAAACAACTCTAAAATTACTAAAAATAAAAATATACAAGTGTACTTAAAACTTTTTCAATTATTTCCAATTATGTAAAAAATGAAGTCCAAATTCTTCAGGAGGACATTCCCAGCAGGCTATCATCTGCTTTCCACTCACTTATCCTCCCTTATATTCTACTGCACTTCCCGTTCCAAAGCCTTCTGTCGGCCATACAAAACTACTGTGTTTGCTATTCCTAAGGATGCCAGGCTATTTAATGGTTTTCCCTTTCTTCACATTTAAATTCTAATTCAAGAGGTCAATATGTCTTTGTTTTTGTTTTTTTATAAGGTCATTATGTCTTTATTGTTATCTTTTGCCAGTGGACTTTCAACCATCCTCACAAAAACTCATGTCAAAGATCTCTTCTGTTAACTCCCCTGGTTACTTGTTCCAAAAGGTTCTAGTAAGCAATAACATGTAAGTGCAGTACAACTATTTATGTATTTCTTCTCTATGAAGATAACCTCAATATCAGAGCAATAGGATTTTACCAGTACCCATGTCCCTAGGGTGTAAAGTACAAGTGAATGATGAATAACACTAAACAGAAAATTGAAAAAGTGTGTAAAATGAGCTCTGCACCAAAAAGACACAACATAAGGGTCTTGACTGCCTCATTATGGAAGAAAGAAAAATAGGAAGTCACCCAATGTCACCTAAATATTTGTTAGTATGGGATCCATTAAGTAGCCATAATGGATACTAAGCAGTCATTACAGAGAATGAGATACATCACATGTATTTTTATGGACATAGAAAGACATCCCAAATACCTTAACCTAATTTTTAAAAAATTAATAAAATAAGACACTCCATTGTTTTATTTAGTTAATTTTTTGAGACAGGGTCTCACTATGTAGTTCAAGCTGGCCTTGATAATTCATTGTTTTAGAAAGGAGACAAAGCCATACACACATACAGGAGTGTGTGCATCATGCATGAAGAAAGTGAAAGGCTGAAAGGTCACACATGCAACTCTTCTGATGCAGGAAAAAAGTGGAACAGCTTAATGCCCATCAACTCACAAATGGATATTTAACATGTGGCCTATCCATAAAATACAAAATTATTCAGCAATAAAAATAAATGAAGCCATAAGAAGAACTGATTCATGATCAAATTTGGATGAGCCTTGAAAATATTTGCTGAATGAAAGCAGACAGATGCAAAAGGGCAGGGATTGTACAATTCCATTTAGATGAAATATTCAAAACAGTTATAATCCCAGAGACAAAAAGTAGATTGGTGGTCGTGTGGAGCTAGAGGTTGGGATGGAAACAGGGAATGACACCAAACATATGACTGATGAAAGGAAAGTAATAAACTTTATCAAAATTTAAAACACTTGCTCTGCAAAAGACCTTTTTAGGGAGATAAAAGAACAGGACACGGGCCGGGGATTTAGCTCAGAGGTTCCTGCGTTCGATCCCCAGTACCAAAAAAAAAGACAGGACACAAGATTTGGAGGACATATTTACAAACCATATATAATTATGTGGCAAATGACTCATCTAGAATATATGAAGGCATCTCAAAACTCAGCAACAAAAATTCAACTAAAAATGGGCAAAAAAATGAAGACGTTTCACTGAAAAGGATATATGAATGGCAAATAAGCAAGAAAGATATGGTTAACATCACTACTCACAGAAAATGCAAATTAACCGTGGGCTGATATCATCACCACACACCCAATGGGACAGCTAATATTAAAACACTGACAATACCAAGTGCTGGCAGGAATATGAGAAGAAAATAGCCAGTGAGCAGAGCCACTTTGGAAAAGTTCGGCAGTTTCTTTAAAAAGCTAAATCTATACCACTGCGTGACCCATAAATTGCATTGCTGGACACTGACGAAGCTTCTTTACTTGGCCAAACTTTAGTCAGTTTCCCAATACATCTCCAGGGCTACCTGTGCACTCTATAAAATACGATTTTACCAAAGAACCCCATACTAAGTCAGTTTAGCAAAAACCCTCCTCTCGGTATCTGATCTATCAGGTTCTTCACATCTGATCACACTGGCAGGTCTTCAGGAAGAATCTGATTAGGTAGGTTTAACCAGAATATTCCCCATACACCTGTTTCCCTTGGTAATTTTCCATCCACTTGGTCCAACCCTGCTCCTTGTCTCTAAGTCCTCTTGCCTAGACTGTATTTGGAGTTGTTCCTACATTCGTTCCTCTATTGCAAGACTCTGTTGCAGTGTTGCCTATAACTACAATGATGGTCCCAAATAATATACTCCTTTACTACACTTCAACAAGTGTCATAGGCTGGTGGTATAGCTCAATGGTAGTGTGCTAGCCTAGCATGGGCAAGAACCAGGTTTCAATCCCCAGCACCTCCAAGGAAAAAATAAAAAGTAATTAAATAGCTTTTTCTTTAACCATACCTGTTCTCAAGTAAACTAAAATTTATCTCCACATAAAAATCTAAACATTAGTGTTCAGGGTAGGTGAAAACTAGAAAAAACTTACAATGCTTCAACAGGTGAATTGCTAAGCAAACTGGTACATCCGTAATATGGAACCCTACTTGGCAATAAAAAGGAATGAACTTCTGATTTATGTAAGTTGGAGTGATATGAAGGAATTAGACTGAGTAAAAGAAAGCCAATTTAAAAGGCTCCCAAATTTTATGATTTCATTTATTAAACATTTTTAAAATGACAAAATCAAAGAGATGAAAAACAGATTAATGGTTGCTGGTGAAATTATTTGTGTCCTAAGGTCACAGTAATTACACAAATCAGCACATATGTTTAAATGGCACAGAACTATTCACACAAAATGTACCAATGTCAATTTTTGGTTTGTTATTACATGTGGGTAGTAAGAAGTAACCACTAGGGGAAAGATAAAGAGTAAAGGGACCTCTCTATTTTGCAATTTCCTGTGAATCTATAATTACTTCAAAATTAAAATGGTTTTAAAACTTACTTTCTTAGATACATTTTTTTTTGTACTGGGGATCAAACTCAGGACCTTGCACTTGCGAGGAAGGCTCAGCGCCACTGAGCTAAATCCCGGGCTAAAACTTACTTTCTCAAAATGATGGTCTCGCCTCTGCTTTCCATTAGATTCTGAATACTAAAGTAACTGCTCAAAGACTATTCAAGATAACATTCTTTCTTTGAAATGATCTTTCTTTTACATAGATGTAAAATATATATGTGTGCATATGTGTGCAGACACATGCATTTTTTTGAACAGCAAAGAAAGACTACAATGAAACTTCAGTTCTGCAGTGGCTTCTAGATTCCTGTAGAATGCAGAGTTCCCATGGAGAAGACCACAGAAAGCTGCAGTTCCCAGGCAACTTCAGAGTTCTGGGTCTCAAGTAAGGACAGGGCCCTTTCCCTCCCACTGGCCTCCTCCAGTGGCTGGGTGGGGGCGTGTCTGCTTCTAAGTAAGAGCCAACCTGTTCTAGGATAGCACCTGCAGCAGAGCCAACTCCCAGATAATCAGCTACCTCTCAATTTGAATGAAGAATGAAACCACTTCTAAATTCTTTTTAACTTTTCTTTACAATTTACTAATACGTATTCACAATATATGACATTTAAATTATTTGATACATCTTCTAAGCAAACCCAGTCAGTAGAGAAACATATACTACCCTTTTTTTTTTCTGTACAGGTTCTGAGAAATTATCAATAGGCTATTTTTTTTTAAGTGGCTAATAAGTAAAAGCACCACAAAGTAAGTTCCTTAGAACAGTCCCTACATAAAGCAGTCAAATTCTGTTATCAGGAAATACCAGATGATCCTAGCTTACTAAGTGTTCTCCAATTCTAAAATGTGCACCACTGCACCTCCTCAGCATATAAATTCAAAATGAACACTCCAAACACCAATTAGAGTCCTGCTGTAATAAAGCAGAGCCCTCAGGGACGATTAGTACACAATGATGTTCACTCCATCTCTAAACAGCCCCAAGAGTGCTGTGTTGATGTCCTTATTTTCTTTTTTTTTTTGATACTGGGGATCGAACTCGGGTCCTTGCACTTGCGCAGCATGCGGCGAAACCACTGAGCTAAATCCCTGGCCCTATTTCCTTATTTTCATATGTATGTTTTAGTTTGTTTCATATGTATGTCTTTCTTTTTGTTAAGTTTTCTCCCCTTTTCGAACAGCTCACCAGGATGTATGCTTGTTAATAACCCCTTCCCCTCCACACTTTTAATTTATATCATCATGGGGTCTTGAAAATTGTAGCACTAGTTTGGGATCTCTTTAAAGAAAAAAAAAAAAGGCTGCATATGATGGCTTGAGGCTCAGGATGTAAGAAAGGAACATACCTCCTATCATAAAATCATTTAAATACTACTATAATTTTCAAAATAAAGACCACTTCAAGAAGAGAATGATGACACACATGCATGAGTCAGTCCAAGAAAACACCAAGATACATGCAGCTACAAACCAAACACAGCTCTCATACCTGCCTCACACTTCCAACAAGATACACTGTTACTCAGCACACAAAGGAGCCCTCAGATCTTGCTTTTCCTCCCAGAAACCTCTTCCTCCGGAATTTCTCATTCAGCTCAATCCACAACTGTTCAAAAGAAAACACTGCCATCACTCCCCAAACCTCTATATCCTAACCTAAATAACCTTTTGTACGGCCACTGCAAGGCACACACAATATCCACAGCAGCTCCTTCTCAACAGCAAAAGACCCAGAAAAACCAAATGCCTAATGGTAACATGGGTGAAATGCACTGTATTCACAAAATGAAACTGTCCCCTAGTAGTGGAAATAAAGCAACTTCAGCTAAGTATGTCACTATGAGTAAGGTCTTCAAATGTAATACTGAATGAAAAAAAATCCATTTCATTCACTCATATGAAGCTCAAATATAAGAAAAATTAAAATATATATACATACATACACACTCTCACACACACACATATATATGGGAAAATACCACTGGTAAAACTGAAGGAAAATTAAGGGACTGACACCAGATTTATTTAGAGTAGAGAAAAAGCCACAGGCTTGAGGCACGGAGGGGTCCATGCCTGCCATCACATTTTTTAGAAGGTTGGGACAGATTTAGTCACTGTTTATTATTACTGCTCAAAATGTACATATACTTTATATATACCCTTATCTGTAGGAGAGATTTTAGAATAAAAATTCTATTATAATCTAAAACTAATACAATTAAATGCCAATATTTTTAAAATCCAGGCATGAGGCACACAGGTGTCTATTATACTTTTTATATTTTCAGAATATACCGTAATAGAAAAAAATTAAGAGTAAAACACTACAAGGGCCAGGGATTTAGCTAAATAGTGCCGCACCTGCCTTGCAAGTGCCAAGGTCCTGAGTTCAATCCCCCAGTACCAGAAAAAAAAAAAAGAGAGAGAGAGTAAAACACTACAAATTTGTATTTTGAAATTTAAAGATACTATATAAAATTCATTAATAGCAATACATCAACACAAATACTAAGCTATTGACGGGGATTTAGCTCAGTGGTTTCGCCGCCTGCTGCAAATACTAAGCTATTAAAATGGAAAAGAAAAACAAAATAAATTTTACTTCTCCTGTTACACAATGGAAAAATACACAAAACAATCTAATATACAGAATCCATTCCAAAAAATTTAATTTGTACTAGTCACAAAACACAATCAGCAAAGTGTATGATATCATATACACACACACACACACACACACACACACACATTTTTTCTTTTAAAGGAAAAACTAGATGACCATGGTGAGGGAAAGGAGGGAGGTGGTGTAGTGGCTTACTCTAAATTGAAGTAAATCAAAGAACTATGAAAGCTGAATGCAATATATATATATATATATTTTTTTTTGGTACTGGGGATCAAACTCGGGTCCTTGCACTTGTGCAGCAGGCAGTGAAACCACTGAGCTAAATCCCCAGCCCCAACATATATTTTTTGATTGATTCTCAAACCAAAACAGCTGTGAAGAATTATTTTGGAAAATAAATTTAAATAAGGGCACTATATCAGAAAATATAACTGCATTAAAACTAAATCTCTTGGGGCCAGGGATTTAGCTCAGTGGCACTGCACCTGCCTCGTAAATGCAACGTCCTGAGTTCGATCCCTGGTACTGCAAAAACAAAAACCAAAAAAAAAAAAAACAACTAAATCTCTTAGATATAGTAATTTAGTTCTTTAAGAAAACAACTGTTATTAGGATACACCACCTAACAGTTATGATCTAAGTGTCAAGATTTTCAGCTTAGTTTCACATAGCTCAGGAAAAAAATGTCTGTTTTTATAAGGACAGAATTAGAAAAAGTAAATGGGGCAAAATGTTAGATAAACTGGAGAAGGACATGTGCATATTTACTATACAATTAACTTTCAACTTTTCTATTAACTTGTAACTTTTTGTTTGTACTATTTTGCAGTACTGGGGATTAAATGCAGAGGTGCTCTACCACTGATATATCCCTATACCCAGCCCTTAAAAGTTTATTTTGAGACATGGTCTTGCTAAATTGCTTATGCTGACCTCAAATGTTCAGTCTTCCTACCTCAGTCTTCTGAGTAGGTGGAATTAAAGGCAGCTCAATCATAGTTTTTAAAGTAAAAATTTGGGGAAATACGTACTTGATTTTATCAGAAGCTTAGTAAACAATGTTGATCTGATGGAGGTTATTAAAATCAAAACTGACAGATTTACAAGAAAGTCCCAAAAGGCTTTCCCAATCAGCAAATTTTAACATTTTCTGGAAATTACAAATTGTAAATTGAATGAAAAATTAAATTGAGCTTAGACTGTCAAAGACTACACCTATGCTTCAGAAGTACACTACCGTAAGCAATCTGAGGGCAAGAACATCTTTTTGGTAATTCAAGTATATACTTTTTTATAAAAAATTTTTTGATACTGCTGAAATACATATAACTATGCTGATACATTAAAATGTAATGTTTACAAATGTTTTATTTAGCAAATAGAATATTTTTTAATGTAAGTTATCAGATCTTTTATTTTTGTGTATTTATTTAGGTACCAGAAATTGAACTCGGGACCTTGCACTTGGGAGGCAAGCGCTGAAGCCACTGAGCTAAATCCCTGGCCCACAAATAGAATATTTTAAAACTTCTTTTACAAAATAGATTTACTTTCTAATGATGTATGGTCTGAGATTATATTTAAAATCTTTTCAGTATTGCCAATGCAATGTAATAAACGGTGGAATGAATTTCTTTACATAGCTTCCTAAAAGCTAATTATAATTTATAAAAAATGGATAAATACCTATCACCTTAAAGATGTACTGCTTATGTCAGACTTTAACTAACCTCTCATATAATATTTAACTTAATTATTATTTACTAAAAACTCATCATTAAAAATCCAACTGTCATCCTTTCGAGATGTATGCATGAATAAGCTTAAACAAATGTAATTCTAAAACTTACATAAAATTATTTTCAGTTAACAGCACCCATGTGAAGTCCATCGCTTGTATGGGAATATGCAAGCCAACCACATGCACCAGCCGGGGAAGCAGTCTAGAGATCCTTCCTCCAGAGGCCAGGTTGGGACTGCATTACTACATGTCCGCAGGTGGGTAAACAATGGGAGGAAAGTGTTAGCCAGGAAGCCTACATTTAAGTTCTCACCCCCATGTGATGAGAGGCAGGTGGTTAATTACTGTTCTGTGCCAGTTTTTAAACAGGGGAGTCACACACCTAAGGGAGGGGCCTGTGGCCAGGATGGGCAGCAACTAGGGCAACCAAGATTCCAAGAGGAAACAGCAACAGGTCTGGAAGAAACTCAGGCAATTGGAAGCAATGATCTCAATGCAATGCATACGAGCAGCCTGATGAGAGACTACCACCTTCCTCGCAAAATCATACCATGTGCCTTTGGGATTGTACTTGTGAGAGTCAGTATGTTTGAATTTCAGAGAATATTATCGATAGGAAGGTAAGAATGAAAGAAGAAAACACATCTACCCATATCTGTATCACTTGCTAACACTACTTTAGTAAATTTTAAAGCATTTAAGGCATAGCTTCTCACCCACAAACAAAATGTAATCAACATGAGCAGTCAAAAATTTACTGAAATTTAAATAATGGTACCAGATGACAGCACATACATG